AAGGTTCACATCTATGTGCAAAATGCACTATTTGTTTCAAATCAGATTAATGTGAATGGTAAGTGAAGTGAATGGGCTACTATAAGACCATCAGAAGTAAAAATATAAGGACAATATTATGTAATATATACAACATATTTCCACAACTATAAAATGTATACATATATTTATAAATAAGAAACATGTGCAGCTAACCTTTAAACTGAATGGGTTTGAACTGCATGGGTCCACCTATACACCAATTGTTTTCAACCAAGGCAAACAGAAAACATATTTTCTATATTTTTTATAATTTAATTATATTTTTTCTTATAATTAAATATAAAGAGAGAAACCTGGTATGAGAAGCCTGTGTATGTGAAGAGTCAACTTTTCATATACATACATGGGTTCTGCAGGGCTCTGCGGGACTGAGTATGTGTGGATTTTGGTATCTGAGAGTGGTCCTAGAACCAATCCCCTGTGTATACGCAGGGATGACTTTAATTCATATGAAATAGAAAGGTATGAGTGGTTAACAATACCAGTGTGAAGGAAGAACAAGAGTATGAATGTGGGGACTATAATTATATGAAATTGCACATAAGCACAATGTCAGCCATCGGAATAATTGGAGACGCTAGTGTTTATGAGGTTCTCGTCTTTTAAGATTAAATTCATGAATGGAAGCCTCCAAAAGATGTGATCAAGCAATTTGTTATGACTCCACAGAATCTCCTGGTTGAGAGTGAGGAGAGAATTTACAGATCATTTAGTCCAACCTCCTCTTTTCACTGAAGGAACTGAGGGATATTTGGGGAAATTTCCCAAGTCACAGTGTAAACCTCGTCTTATTAAACTATTGAAATATGCAGACACCAATATGTGGTTTATAAAATGTGTATGCTGTGCACGGGTCCTGTAAACAAACCACCAAGCTCCTTTCTCTGGAAATGGCACATATTCCAGAACTTTCCTTGGTTAAGCTGTGGCAGCTAAATTGCATTTGAGTTTGGGCTGGCTTAGGAGCAGGGAATGCAGGCAGTCCAGGCAGGGGAAGGGAAGAGCAAAAAAGGATCTCAGAGGTCAGCAGCAAAGAAAAGCAGGCAGCAGAATAAAGTATACTATGTGTTCATGTACGCCCAACTAACAGCATCATGCTTGCCTCTACTGAGTCATCTAGTCGGTGTTATTTGAGAACTAATAAAGATCCCTTTTCCAGGATCTCTCTACTTTCTTAGGAAATAAACAGCAGTAAAGCCCAGAGCTTATAAAGCACAAGACTGATTATTTTGATAGGGGTCAGGAAAGACAGGGATTATTAGGCACATACCCTCTAGGGCAGGCCCAGGTAGAAAACCCAGAAAGTTGCCTGAAGGCACTGAGCTCCAGGTTAGGAGTGCAGAAAAGAAAGAAACAGGAAGGAGAAAGTGGGGAGTGGCTTGGCACAAACACAACACAATGTTTACACACTCCACAGTGATGCCAATGCTGCATATGGCAACACTGAGTCAACAGCATTAGGCACAAGGACACTCAGCTCCTGGCCTTCAGGGAGCAGTGGGTGGAAGAAAACTCTGCAGGGTGATGATGGGCAGTCTCCCTCTTCATGCACTCTGAGGAGCCATGGCCTTGGCGCTGTGCTGGGCACCTTCTCTCACAGTTTCCACTCCCTGTGCACCCCTGCTCACTTCTTTGGAGTGATGCAGAACCATACCATAACCTGCTGTTCTCTTCCTTCTCCCTAGGAAGAACAGATCCTATAGTCTTAACTCTGCCCACCTTAGTCCATCTAGTGTCTCTTCCCTTCCAAATTAGTCAATCTTCCTTGGTTTCTACCCTCAGGCCTCATTCTTCAACCTCCTTCTCTCTTGGTTCCCTTCCTCTTCCTTCTCTTCACAGTCAGAGGTCTAAGCCCATGCTGTCTTGTTCCTTTCTATACCAGCCCTGAGAACATCCTTCACTATGGGACCCACTCAAGTCCTCATTTCTTGTGACCTTTGACCATGTTCTCTTCCTTTTGTGAAATGCTCCTCTTCCTCTACTTTTCAGGAAATATTCTCCACATTTTTCTATCTTTTCACTTTTCTTTGCTGGCTTCTTTTCCTCTGCACCTGCATCTCAAATATCGGTATCTCTAAGGTTCCAAGCTTGGAAATTTACCTGCTCTTATTAGGTGACTTCTCATTAGGTGAAGTCACTTCAGCTGCCAGATGTATGCCGACAACTTCCAAATCACACACCTCTCTGGAGCACCAAATCCACATTTCCATCCCTAGATGGTAATCTTCACCTGTATTGTTCCATAGGCACTTCAAATTCAGCACATCTAAAACTAAACTTCTCTCTTTCCATCTGTACTTCCAAATTCTTCTTCCTGTGTTCCCTATGTTAATTACCAGCACTAAATCTACTGAACTGCCTAAGTTGAAAACATCGCTTCTTTTTCATCTCTCTCTCTCTCTCTCTTTTTTTTTTTTTTTTGCAGGGGTCTTGCTCTGTTGCCCAGGCTGGAGTGCAGTGGCACAATCATGGCTTACTGCAGCCTCAACCTGCTGGGCTCAAGAAATCCTCCTACCTTAGTCTACCAAGTAGCTGGGACTACAGGCACATGCCACCACACCCAACTAATTTTTTAAATTTTTGGTAGAGATGAGGTCTCATTACATTTCCCAGGCTGGTCTCAAGCTCTTGAATTCAAGTGGTCCTCCTGCCTTGGCCTCCTAAAGTGCTAAGATTACAGACATGAGCCATTGCATCCAGCCTCTTTCATCTTTTGCAGCCATCACTACATGATGCAAATGTAATTATTCCACTCTCCTACTTAAAATGCTTTAATTGCTTTCTCTTGCCACTAGAGAAATTCCAAACATTTTTGGAAAAAACACAGGCCCCTTCACATCCTGGCTCTCTTTTTCCCAAATCTTACTGCCCCCCACACCCTCCAACAGAACTATTCCCTCTGCACATGTCAGACGCTTGAGCTTCCCTGAATATACTGTCACTTTGAGGCTTTGAGATCATTTTCTCCACTTGGAATGCCTTTCCCTCTTTTGTCTGATTGACTAACTTAGAACTTACATCAAGACTCTCCTCAAATGTCACCTCTACAGTGAAAGCTTACCAGCTCAACATCTGTTCTTTATCCCTTTCCCCCAGGAGTCTTGCACTCCAGTCCTCCCCACTGAAAAAATTAACTACTCCATGCTGGTGGTGCCACTGGACTCCTGTACTCTCCTTCAAGGAGCTAATTACATGTGTATCTCCTATACCAGACTGTAGGTCCCATGAGTACAGGGACCTTCAAGTTCATCTTTGCCTGCTTAGCACCCTAAGCATGGCCCCCTGGAGCACAGTAGGTATTCAGTAAACATGTGCTGGGCAAGGGGCAATAATTACGTGCTACCACTTACCAAGCACGTCACACATGTGAAGCACTTGGCATCATTATGTCATCGCCACACACTATGAAGGGATATCAACCCATTTTGCAAGCGAGAAACAAAATTTACAAGGATGAAGTCATTTACCCAAAGTCAACAACTGGTAAACACAAGTTTACTTTTGATTTCTGAGCTCCTGTTTTTAACTACTCGGCTCTACTCTTGGATGAAAGGAGGTTGATGAATGGGGCTGTGTTTCTATAAAAACAATCTCCCCCAATCACAGGCTTAGGTGCTGGGTTAGTCCCAAATCCACTGCCAATATGGTGTTACTGTGCACAACAAAACCTGCAACTAATGATTGACTTCTCCCTTGATGGTTGATAGGGTTCCTACGACCAAGGAGAGGGGGCACTATTTATAAAAATCTGCTTCTTGGTCTCTGGCTTAGAATGCTCTACCCAGGAAACATCACAGAGAAGGCTGGATTTCCCTTAGGTTTCAGACATGGATGTCTATGCCCTGTTCTGGGAGAAAAGATGTGGGAGTGAGTGTGATCATGATGAGGGTAAAAGATAGATTTCAATGTGCATACTCTTGGAACATTGTTGCAATACTTAAGAACATTGTTGCAATACTTAAGAGTCGCTTCTTGTACAAATACTTTCATTACCTAGAACCAGAAGACTTTTCTAGTCTCCAATCCAGACTCTGAAAATTAACAATGACTTCTAAATCTTCAGTGGTCCATCACTGAACACATATATCTCATGTTTTCCGCTCCACAGAACTATAATACGTTCAGTTGCCTTTTTCAGTCACTCTCTTAATTCATGTATTTTCTACTAAATGCATTCTAAAATTGAACTCTGCAATGTTCTCTAATTCTAGTGACTTTTTAATAATAGTCCTCTATTTTCTGCTGATAGCTCCACCACCTCCACAACCATTCAACAAATAATTGGAATCAGTCCTATGCTTACACTGATTAGTGCATCTAATCATCCTGAATCACAGATGATCAAATTTGTCCAAGACCACTCAGCTAGTAAGGGACACACATACACATTGGGCTCCAAACATGAGGACTATTTGCTCTCCTTTACTTGTTGACTTTTAAATACACAGATATACATGGCTGGGAGTGAGGAATGCTCTTTCTCCCCACTCCCAAGCCTTATTTACCTGCCGAATTCCTATTGGTTGTTTAAGGCTCAACTCAAGGGCAATCTCCTGCATGAAGCATCTCAGGTTTTCTCTGCCCTCTCTCCTTTCTGGGTGGGATGCCCCTGCCCTGGGCTTCATTACCACCTGTGCTTCTATCTCCTCCCTGCTTTCCCTGAAAGGCAACTGTCACAATTGCCAGTTGACTCCTCTTTCTCTCTTGCTCAGTTGTAGGCTCCTTCAGAGCATGGTAGGGTCTGAGCCTTAGGATTCTGAGCATTTAACACAGCGCATAACACATGGCACATATACAACCAATGCTTGTTAAATACCAAGTCATCCCACTTCTCTGATTTGGTCAAAGGCCTGATGGATGATGTCATCTGAGTTAGCAAGAGAGACAGATGATTCCCATCATGAGTGATGCAGAGTATCATTTCCCCAGCTTTTCATGAACTCATTCTATCTCACTAGGTTTACAAGGAGACAGGTAGTTACCACTAATTGAGCAATGGCCACTTCTCAGACGCTGGAGTCTATGCTTCACCCATATCATTGAGTATCCTCACAATACTGCCAAGTGGACATAATAATTTATATTCATTTCATGAAGAAGTTTAAGATCAATTACCTTAAGTAACTGGTCTACAGTCACACAGAAGGCAGGCTTTGTTATAAAAAACAGGTATAAAGTGCCCTATCACATGTAGTCTTCCCTGGCCTGGAGAGATTCATTAGTTATTTGTGAAAATTAGTTACAGGCCCAAAACCCAAAAACTATGTTAATTTGATGCTAGAATACTAAATAGTAAATTGCTAGAATAGCACAAGTGTGGTAACCTAGTATTTATAGAGGCTCCAAGGCAGTTCTAACATACTCATCTATCCAGGGCAAATAATGCCTGCAGTCCTTATCAGACAGATGAAGATTATAATATCTATTTACTTCAAAGGGAGCTGAATATCACATAAGATCATAGCTGTCAAAGTTCTTTATGAAGGAAGAGGATAGAGACTCATTTTAGAGCATGGTGGGGGACAGTTTGATAGCAGTGGAAGACCCTAGGCATCAGAGCTACCTGAGATGCTGTTTAACAGCCGATGAGGGAAGCTTGACTGGGAATCCACATTTATCATAACAAGCCCCCAAATGATTCTCTGGGACACTGAAATAACAGGTTACAGCAGTGCTTCTCAAATGTTAACATACACATGGGGATCTTGTTAAAATACAGATTTGAATTCAGTGGGTCTGGAAGAAAGGAGCAGGCAGGCTAAGATTTTGCATTTCTAATAGCCTCCCAGGGGAGGCCACATGCTACTGGTCCATAGACCATGTTTGAGTGGCAGGGGCTTGGAAGATCTATCCCCACTGGAACAAATTAGCTTTGTTTCTGATTGCACCCCCCTCCCCCGGCCAACTTCAGAGAGTATCTTCCATAAAGCCCAGGGTCTTAGTACTGGTACAAAATTAGTTGAACTACTCAAACCAAATTGAAACACACTTTGTATCACAGGTAAAGCAGCAGCATTCTTTTTAGATACAGGTAACACATGTTTAGCATGTGAAAGAATATTACTACTGCGTGAGTCCTATTTAAAAGCACACATACATAAGCAGAATATGTATAGGAATAAAAAAGAAAAAAGAAAATAAATAAAAGTGCACAAAGCATTTTATATACATTATCCCTAATCCCCACCCTGCCCCCAACAAGGTATATATTCTTGTTCTGTAGATAAGGATATGGTGACTTAAGTAACTTGGTCAAGGTCACATGGCTAGTTAGGTGTTACCACAGGGATTCTGATCTCGCTCCATCAGGATACAAAGCCCATGTGTCCTCGGTACTCTCTCAGAGTGCTAGAAATGATAGTAATACGAAATGTATCAGCTTGGGAATCAAGAACAAAGTGAGGAAAAAGTGTTTCTCCTCTATCCGTTTTTGAGTTTAAAGCTCTGCTGAGGCAGATTGTGAATGGTGGTGAGATTAGGATATAAGGTTCATTAGTGATCTGTGTTGCCTCATGGACAAAAACATGCAGATAGCATCCTCATTAATGGTTCCCATAAATCTGATAATGCAGATGGAAAAAAAGGACACTAGTGACCAGCGTGCTGATTATAAACACTGCCACCTTCCCTCAGGCTTCTAGCTGTCAGGCTCAACCAACTAAGAGGAAACACTCTTCCTGTCCCTGTGGCTTGTCAACTTCCTCCCACTCTCCTGTGCACGGTTTCTGTAATCTTAAAAGTTCATCCCAAACACAGGTTTATCCTCCTATGACATGGCATAGTTGCCACACTTCCATACTGCTGATAACGCTGCTTGCACCTGAAAAAATGTACTATTTAGTCAAATGCCTTGAAAATGTAGGGATTTTTGAAGGCTCCGAGTAACAAAATTTTCTATACTTTTCATAAGGTTGATGTGGAGAGATGCCCGGCTATGCGTAGAGAAAGCAGTGAGATAGTTATTCAGGTGTTCCAAATGGGGGAAAATAGTTACAAAATAAACCACCCACGCAATTACTATCCAGTGTCTTTAGCATTCAATGACCCATGGGTGAAGAATACAGGGTTAGGCTTTTTAACATCAGGTCTCTCCACGAGTAGCCCTCTGTAGTTTAACTGTTATGTTTTCTAAAGATTCATCTTTATAATCAGTACAATTATTTCCCTTTGTAATACAAACAGAAACAATTAGAAAGCAACATCTCTTGCAATTAAAATATATATACAGTAATAGTATAAAATCAAAGAGTGATATTCGAGCCATTAAAGATTATAAATTTTGTCCCTGTGGTATTCTCTACACACGGTGTTTCAAAAATAAAGATTGAAATCTAAAAAGATATCTTTGGTTTCAAAACTTTCTTAAAAGCATTTTTAGAGAGTGTGTGTTTATTTTAAATAGGGGGTAAGGAATTGCATCGGGAGCTAGATTTCAAACTAAGCATTTCTTGTTTCACTCCCCCCGCCTCCCTGCAACAGTTCAAATCTCAGATTAAAACCAGAGGGCCACAGAAACCAATTTGAGATTTTCTTAAGAGACTTCACTGAAATGTATGGGCAAAAACATGTTTGCGATGAGTCATAATTTATAGGACCTTAATGGCCAATGAATGCCTTATGTGCCTTTCTTCCTACATTCAGTATCACTCCCAAACCAGCTGATGACATATTTTCTAGGCCTTGATAATTTTTATACAGTTACTAGGTCTCTGTTACTAAGGCTGCCACCAAGATTCATGAACAAAACCCTTTCTTGTGCTGATTTTTTAATGCCATCTAAAAGAAGAGAATGCTATGCTTTCCAAACTAACTCTCCCAAACCAGGCAGCTAATGCCCTTCGCCAGCATAAAGGCGCGATACTTTTAAGACCCCAAAGAGAAGCTGAGGGGCTTTGGAGCACTACAAGTAAAAAGACCGCGGGAAAGGTTCATGGAGAGCCGCTTTGGGGGAAAGGCAGACATAACAACAGGATATGTTCGTTTCTAGAGGAAGCAGGAGCTGCAATAGCCCCGGAGCAGGAAAGGCGGAGTCAGCAGCACCCAAAGGAAACAGGCGCGCCCGGGTTTGCTAGAACGGGGTTTGCTTAGGGGCTCTCGCCCCGTCTAGTCCGAGACTGGTGCGCACCTCGCCCGCGGGGGACCAAGCTCAGGCCTCCTGACACTAATGGTTATAAAGAGGTACCCATAAGCTCTCTGCCGCCCCTGCCAAAAACGGGCCACGGGGGAAGAGAAAAAGCACACACCAGGCGCCGCGGCAGGTGAACTTGTCAACAAGTCAACCCTGGCCGCGAGTCCCTGCCCACCAGGGAGCTCAGGGTCCTGAGGCCGGAGCCACGGGGAAGTCGAGGCGCGGGGTGGGTGGGTGGGGTGGCTGGCGTGGGTGCCGGTGCTCCCAGCGCTGGGGCTGGAGCGCGGAACGCGTCCCTCCCGCTCCCCCGGGGCTGACGCACGCCCTCATGGCGCGCGCATCCTCCAGACCTTCCCAGGCCGGCGGGAGGAGGCGGGGGAGGGGAAGGGGCTGCTGCGGTTCCCGCACCGGGATCCGGGACCCGAGGAGGCAACCCGCCTATCACGCGCCGCCCGCAGAGGGCAGAGGAGGCAGCTCCTACCAGGCGTCCCCGGCCGTCCCGGCTGCCGGGCGTCTCCTGCTGCCGCCTGCAGCCCGCTCTGCGCGCCCCCGCCCCGACCCCGGAGGGCAGGTACCTCGGAGCCCCGGCCCCCGGGAGCCTCCCGGCCGCGGTCGGAGCGTCCCTCCGGATCCCTCATCCGACGTCAGCGTCAGCCGAAGGCGAGGGAAAGGGGCGGGGGAGCGCAGGAGCCGGCCCTTCCTGCGGCGGCCGCCACCAGCCGGAATAGCAGCCGGCGGTGCCCGTGCGCGCCGCAGCGCAGCGCAGCGGCCCGGGGGAGCGGGGCCCTCGCCACCCGGCTACCGACCGTCGCCTGGGCTCCGCCGCTGCCTCCCTTCCCCGCTTCTCCCCTCCCCCAGACGCCCGCCTGGGCGACCCCTCCGAGGAGGACCACAGGGAGGTGGGTGGGGTTGGCCTCACCTTGCTTGGGGCGGGTCGGGGACTGGGGGAGTGAGTCTCTCTCTCTCTCCACTCCCAGGCTTCTCTCCTCGACCCCCATCTCCTGGGGTATCCCCCGCTCGGATCCACCGCCCAGAGTGACCCCGCCCCTGCTCCCCGGCAGGTGTTCCACGTGGCCATAGCGTTTGCGTCACAATGACCTGGCTGACAGGTGGGAGTCAAGGCGTACACCCCAGGGTTCCCTCCGTGCTGTGCCTAGTGCCTGCTGCTTGCCTCTAGGTTAAATTTTTGTGGCTTTAGAGGACAGGAGGCTTCATGACTTTGCCAAGAAAAGTTAGAGGCCTGCTGTACCTGGAAATCAAGTTTGAGCTTAAAGAATAAAGGCCATATTTTAAAAACAGCTGTGTATGTATAGGCATATATTTTTCATTCCCATATGTTTCTGTATCTTTTATGTTTAAGTTATTGCCATTTATAGCAGTTTTATCTTCTCTTATCCTTTGTCACCAGGAAAGAACCAAACCATTGTTGCTAGAGACCCTGCAGTGTACAGATCACAGGAAGAAAAAGTGTTGGCATAGTTGCTTCCTAATGCTATCTATGTGGAAATGAGACCTCAGTGTACAATCACTCCATCCCTGGTTGTGTTGTATGTTTATAAATAAGTTCATTCAGTCGTCGCTGAAACAATTTAAAAGGGCAGAATGATCGCTACTGAGTAATGATGCTGACAAATCTGAAATCCTGCGCTAACATGGATGGAGTGCTAGCTATGTGCCGGGCACATTCTGTGTGCTTTACGTTTATTCTTGCAGCAACCCAATCCAGTAGGTAAAATCATTATCCCGATTTTACAGATGAAGACACTGCCCAGAGTGCCACAAAGAGATTATTGAGCAGGGATTTGAATCTGAACCAGGAGACTTAGCTTAATCTCAAGATAGCATGGTGTCTTGCCAGAATGGATGGAGAAAAAGTATAGATGTTGATATTTTAATAGAAAGATAGTAATATAGTATAGCTCCAGAAATTTACATAACCTTTAAAGTTACTCTTTGGGGATTCTGTTTGTTGCAGATTTGAGCCTGTCCTAGTCTAACACAAATTTTGGAGCTGAGTAAACAGCTCCTTAATAAGTGTGTATGAGTAAACAAATCATGAATATGGTCTACGAAATAGCAAATTGTTGAAAAGCTAGATTCAGGAGAAACTTTTAGAGAGAAAATCATTGCTTCTATATATTTGGCTTTTATAAGAAACATTCAAACTAACCTGTTAACAGCGCAAGCCAAATGACTTTGCTGTATGTAAGAAGAAACAAAACAAAAACAAAAACCCAAAGCCTTGAAAATGAGGAAGGCTTCCTTACAAAAGAGATTATTAAGATATTTTAAGATACATCGATTCCAAGAACTGTAAACTTGTGTGTTAAAAATCTATTATCAGGAGTTAAAAGGATAAAGAGATTATTGTTCTTTAACAGAATGAAGTGCCGTAATGAACATCATAGGTGCTCAATAAATGTTGACTGAGTGTATCATCAGTTAATAGAAGCATTGAGAAAGGACTAAATGACACGAAAAAGACTTTTTCTGACTCTATAACGTTCTCCTTTCTGTCAGTAGTGATTTACCAGTAAATAACTTATCAGAAGCCCCATTGGTCAATCGCTGGCTTTGAGGGAAGATATTTAAATAAGTTACAAGACAGCCAGTTGAATGGCAGGTTGTGTGTGTGTTGAGTATTCCCATCAAAATACAGATGATTGGAACAAAAAT